TTATTACAAGTAAATTACACTGTGGAGTAGCATTAATATTGCAGTTGAAACCTAGAATTTGAAATAAAGATGGAAATATTCATTTGTACATAGTTTTTGTTCTTAGAAAAATGATTTGGAATTAGGCAAGAAGCTTCCTTCTGCGTGTTGCCCCGGCGGGGCTAGTGCTCCAGGCCCACACCGCCCCGCGGGCCAGCAGCAGGGCCGGGCCCCTGGGATAGGGACGCAGACATTCTCAGCCCTCGGGGGCAGGGGTGCTGGAGTGGGAGAATGAGTACAATACAGATACGTGCGACTCAGAAATCGGAAATCCCTGCAGCCTGGGGTGACAGAGGACCTAACAGTGTTAGGTGGTTGGGGACAGAGACTGGATAAGGAGATGGTGGCCACAGGTGACAGACAAGCTTCACCATCTCTCTTCTCAGAAGCCAGCCCATTGCCAGGTCTGGTTTTTTCCTCTCCTTTTGGGATGAGAGTTGGGAGGAGGGTGACAGCTTATTTGGCAGTTCAAGTGTTTTATAAACCAGTATAATGTAGCTGAGCTCCGATGACTGCGCTCCGAAGCAAACATCAAGGCCTGGCCAGTAATAAGCGATCACTGGAAATGCATCCTTTAGGGACACCCGTTCATCCTAGACCAGGGCTCCTACCCATTTCCTGACCTGGCCCTGCCCACGCTCTGCCCGTGCCCCTGAGGTCTCTCAGTGCAGGTCACTCCCCTTCGTCACCACCCGTGCAGGCCACCATGCTCACATTCCAGACGGCACAGCCTGCACGAAGTCTTCTGGGGCTTCCGCTCGCCCCACCCCACCCCTGTGCTCCCAGAACACGCGGCACTGACCTCAGAGCATTTACCATAGTGTGCTGCCCCCTGGAGTCACTGGATTAAGATTTGTATTTTTTCCCTTTGGCAAGGAATTATAAGGGGTTATTGATTGAACAAGGTGGGCCTGGGAGTGATGATTTCTAGAGCACATTACGACAACCCTGCAGGATAGGCATGATCTCTCTTTCTACAAACAAAGAAACTGAGGGTCAGAGATGTTTAGTAACTTACCCCAAGTCACACAGCCAGGAGGGACAGAGCAAGGATTAGGATCCAAGTCTGTCTGATTTCCCAAACCACCTCTTTACCCTTCACAATGGAGTGACTCAAAGCATCCCCAACGTGAACACTGGACGCACTGAGAGGCCTTTCTGGCACGCACGTGTTCTGTGTTCCTTGGAATCTTCAGGACGGCCTAACAACGCCACGGGTCCTCCTCATGGACATCTGCCCTGAGTTCTCGACAACCACGCACCTCCCCCACCTTCCTGACCTCTTATTTAGAAAACCATAACCTACAGGAGAGCTGAAAGAGCAGAACAACGAACACCAGCATATATGCAAACATATACTAGTATGTACTTATATGTTAGAGGTGTGGGGTTTTTTTGTTTGTTTTGTTTTTACTTTTTTGCTAAATGACTTGAAAGTAACTTGGAGATATCATGACACCTAACTCCTAAATATTTCAGGATGCCTCTGTGAAGGAGAAAGAGTCTCCTCTATCATCACAATACATTGTGATGCCCAACAAATTTAACATGTACTTACTAGTTAATATAAGGTCTGCATTCAAATTTTCTAATTGGTTCAAGAATGTCCTTTTATAGTTATTTTTGTTTTTTGATCCAGGATCCAATTAAGAATCACTAATTGCATTAACTTTTCTCTCTAGTCTCCTGTAACCTTCAACACTTTTGACTTTTTTTTTCTTTTCCATGATACTGACAGTTTTGAGTCCAGACTAGTTTTCTTGTAAAGTGTCCCACATCCCGGATGTCTCTGTTCCCTCATACTTAAGCGACCTTGCGTGTATCCCACTGCATTACACCAGGAGGCACCTGTCAGTGTGTCCCCTTGTTGATGTCACTATGTCAGATTACTTGGTGTGGCAGGCAACCCATAGGAGGCCCCAATGGCTCCTACCTTCTGGTGGTCACATCCTGTGTGTCCCCTTCCTTTGAGTGAGGGCTCACTTCGAAAGACTAGAACATGACAGAAGATGTAAAATGTCAGTTCTGAAACTGGGTGCTAGAAAGACTGCGGTTTTCTTTGGGGAGCTCTCTCTCTCAGATGCATCTTGCCCTGGGGAAGCCAGCTGCCCTGCTGTGAGGCAGCCATGTGGAGAAGCCCCCAGGAGTGAGCGTGGAGGTGAACCTTCTGCCAATAGCCACCTGAGTAATCCCATCGACTGTAATAGCGTATTTCTGATAGTCCAATAGTCCCAAATCTGGCTAGGAGGAGTTCCTTCAAGCTGAGGTTGGTATCCTTTTGAGGTTCCCCTCCGCCTGGAGCACTTTCATGCGTCTGGCTCACCTTGCATCTTCCCTGCCCCAGGCCTGCAATCGGCCATCTCACCAAGGTTTCTTTAGTGGAGAATGGCATTCAGAACCCACGCTCTGGTCACTAGGTTTGCTCCTGGGACCTCATTGCTTATAGGCCCTTTCAGTGGACAGAGCTAGGAGATGTTGTTATTTCTTTTTGTTTTGTTTTTCTTTTAAAGCAGTTTTTAAAAAGAAGTTTCCTTCCATTCAAATTCAACTACATGGAGTTCTTCTTCCGCTTCCCATCCCATGTTGGTATCTCTCCTCCTCCACAGTGAGAACCCTGATTGCCAACAACATCAATATATTCAACTAGAGGCCCGGTGCATGAGATTGGTGCACTGGAGGTCAGGCGGGGGGGGGGGGGGGTCCCTCAGCCCAACCTATCCCCTCTCACAGTCCGGGAGCCCTCCAGGGATGTATGACTGACGGCTTAGTGCTGCTGTGGAGGCAGGAGAGGCTCTGGCCACCTCCGCTGCACTTGCCAGCCATGAGCCCGGCTCTGGCTGAGTGGCACTCCTCCTGTGGGAGCGCACTGACCACCATGGGGCAGCTCCTGTGTTGAGTGTCTGCCCCCTGGTGGTCAGTGCACATCATAGCAACCGGTCGTTCTGCCATTTGGTGGATTTGCATATTAGCCTTTTATTATATAGGATCATTTGCTCTGTCCTACAACACACACAACATAGTTTCAGAATTACTACCATTTCCAACGAGAAGACTTCAAAGAAAAATCCAAGACTTTGCAGTTCTATTTCTTCTTAGCATGTATCCCACTAAAAGTATACAGAGCACAATATTCACAGATCATTGAAATCAGCTGTGTATATGTGTTTCCATTATTAACTTGATATGTAGTTGGGTTTCTTTGTTTCTATTTGCACTTAGTTTTAAGGTTTGCTTTTCTCAGATCTTACAAAATTTAATTAATGTTTTAAATATATAAAACTTTTACATGGTACAAAAGTTTTACATGGTCAAAACTATATATTAAAAATTATACTCAGAAGTCTTACTCCTTCCATTCCATTCCTATCCATCCACTAGAGGCACTTAGTGTCCGGTTTATTCTTCCTGTGTTTCTTTCTCTTATACAAAAAGGAGCATACTCTATCCACTCTTTAGCACCTTGTTTTTTTCACTTAATATATCTTCAAAATCACCACATGTCAATTCTTAGATGTATTCCTCAATCTTTTCAGCTTTATGTTAATCCACTGTGTGAATTCATCATAGTTTAATCAGTGAGTATCCTACTGGGTAAACATAGCTGTTTCTAATAGTTTGGTAATTGTAAATATTGTCTTAGTGAATAACCTTATAAATGTATTGTTTCATATTTGTGCAATTGTACTTTCAGGGTGAATTTCTGGAATTAGGATAAAAGCATGTGTAGTCTGCCTAGATATTCCCAATTCCTCCCACACAGATTCTAACACGTTGCACTCCCACCAAGGGTGATGAGACTGCAATGAAGACCGGGTAGTTCTAAATCGAGTCTATAACATTCGGGGTGAAGCTGAAAATCTTTTCATATATTTAAGGTCCATCTACATATGTTGCGTGTGTGTCATTGTGTGTGTGTGTGAACTCTTCATGATTTTGCCCAATTTTCTATCCAATTTTGGCCTTTTTCCCCTCATATTTAAATGTTCCTTATATTCCTAATATTACAGATTAGCTTGTGTCTGTGATAAATATTACAAAACTTTTATCTGTTTGCTCTTTTTTTATTTGCCACGAAGCTGGATTTTAAAAAATGTTGTTAAATGTATTAAGACTCTTATTGCATCTGGATATTTTACTTGTCATTAGAAAGCACTTCTTTGGGGGTTGGCTGGGCTTGGACTGGGTCTCCTTTTTGTGAGGCACAATCGTGAGACCTCTTCTTCCCTCCGCCAAGGAGGAGTTGGGTGCGCTGCCCTGAGCCAGTCTGGCTGGTTTTCCATCTCTTCCTCTCTCAGCAGTTGCACATCCCTCCCCTTGCCCCAGGGACCCTGGCGGCCACAGTCACTCGCTGGCGTGGGGAGGGCGGCTGCTACCTGGGAGAGAAAGCTGCCCCATAGCTTCTGCCTCAGTGGGAGGCACGGGCACCCGCGGCCCTGGGCTTGCAGGGGGTTTGAGTCATAGAAAGACTTTCCCCACACCCAGGGCGTACATACACCCACCCATGCTTTCTTCTAATACCTGTGCGGTGGTTTCATTTTTCACAGAGTTCCGATCCATTTGGCATTTAGCCTGATGAGAGAGGTAAGAGCCTTGGGTCCAATTTTCCAAAAGCCTGGGTGGCCCGGTGGAGGGGGGTGGGGTAGTGCGGGGAAATAGCGACGAACCTTAAGGTTCAGGCCACTAGGTGGCGTTGCTTTAGAGTCGTTTCTGCGGGACTGTAGGAGGAAACGCTGAACGTCTTCAGAAGAAAAAGGAAATGACTTGTCAGTTTAATTGGCCAAGAGGAAGCCTAGTGGGAAGTGCCCTTCCTGCCACACAGCCTTGCCGTCCAAAGGCTGGCTTGGTGCTTCTTTCCCCGCATCAGGACGTATCACTTCCTCCGCGTCTGTTTCCCAAGAAGGCGGTGCGCGCCACCCCTGTGTGTGCGCCCACAGAGCTGGCCTTTGCAGTGTCTCCAGGCCCCGGGGGAGGCAACGGGGAGAGAGTCAAAGAGAAGTCAGGACGGCCACTGCCCTGGCCTGGGAGTGACAGCACCTGGGTTCCGTCCCAACTGCCGTTATTGCTGCCGCCACCGAGCCTCCTGTTCCTCAGCGCCCCCATCTCTAAAATGGGACAACAGTGCCTGCCCTACCCATGTGCCAAGGACTCAATGGGGGAACAGAAGTGGAGGCATCCGTACAATGTGAGAAACGCTGTGCGATGTGTTTTCACTATCATTATGGCTACATTTTGCCACAGAGGCTATATCTCTCTCTAGAAGGTATGATAATCATGAGAACTTGTATTTATATACTAATCGGCTGTCTGTAAGGTGATTTTTCCATGTGCCCTCTCTCTTGCGGAAGCAACACAGCCTTAATGAGAAAACCGACTAACTTAAAAAGGACTGCCTAGCTAGGGGCCCCAGACAGCTCGTGGGGCACCTGTGGGCGAAGATGCTGGGCCGGCCCCATCAGTCAGGCTGGAAGGGGAGCCGTGGAGAATACTCACCCCTGCCTCAGGCTGGGAGGGTCCGGCCCGTGAGCAGGTGGACTGTGTAATAACAGACAGGCAGGCGGGCAGGAGGGCAGGAGGGCAAGCCCAGTGAGGCGGGAGGTCTTGGCTTCGCTGAGGGAACAACACTGACCACAGCAGATAATGGGACCCTCCTCTCCACCAACAGCTGCTGCCGGGGGTTAGCGAGCTCCTGCTTGTACCTCAGAAGGACCTACATTAGCCCTGAGTGGGAACGCGTCACATGGGCTGTTCAGGTAACAGTGTTTAAAGACTTTTCTTCTGAAAAACGGTGTATTTCCTGTGAGTTCTTACAATTAAGAATACCTATTTTTGATACCAAATGTCTAAATTCATCTGCCCTCTAAAGATCACTTCATCGTGTACTATCTCAGCAGAAAAGATGCTTTCTCCAAATGTGTCAGTTCTATTTTTAAAAAGGTTCAGTGACCTATTTCTGTAATTCTCACAGATACTGAGAGAACAGCAGTCTCTTTAGGCTCAGCTCTGTCACCGAAAAGTTGCCCCTGCCAGGTGCTGCCTAGAGAGGCGCCATCTTGCTTTGCAGTAAAGAGGCACAAATAAGTTGGGGGGGGGGGTTGTCAGAGTGAGGTCATGAGCATCAGTACACCCACAGACACAGACGCACTTCTCCATTTTTGAACAATGTCATGATGTCTACTTTAGCCAACCTCCACATCAGGAGATTGCTTCAGAACCAACCATTTCCTGAACCAAGAACTTGACGAGACAGTCCACAGAAGAACTGCAGTTCATCGACTAATACATGGAACAATAGTGAGCTCCTCTAGCAATTAAGGAAATTAAAATTTACAATGCCACCTTCCAAAACTAACCCACGGTGTAAAAAGTCAGGGTGGCGATAGCCCTTGGGTGGGGTGAGAGGGTGAAAGGGGGCATGGCAGGTTTCTGGGGCTCTGGTAATGTCCAGCTTCTTGACTGGGGTGCTGGTTACTTACTTTGTGGAAATTCACTTATGATTGGTGTACCTCTCTGATAAACCTCATAGAAAGTTTACATAAGAAAACCACCCAGCTGGTGTGGCTCAGTGGTTGAGCATCGGCCCAAGAACCAGGAGATCACGGCTCATTTCCAAGTCAGGGGACATGCCATCATTGATGTTTCTATCCTCTTCTCCCTCTCCCTCCCCCTCTCTGAAATCAATAAAAACATTTCAAAAAAGAAGAAGAAAACAAAGTCACTTTCTACCTATTAAGTCTGCAAAAAAAAATTTTTTTTTTGAGTAATAATTTTCAGAGCAATTGAAGCCATATGAAGCTGGAATTTTTTATTTTTTATTTGTCATTGATCTTACAGACAGAGGAGGGGGAGAGAAACACATCAACCCACTGTTCCACCCATTCATGCACCCATTGGCTGACCCCTACATGTGCCCGAAGACCAAACCTGGTGCCTCTGGACCAGCCCCAAACCAACTGAGCTACCCAGCCGGAGGGATGCTGGAATTTTTGCATGTTGCCAATTGCAGTGAACACCATACAACCCTCTTTCAGGAGGAATTTGGCAATAGCAATTTTAAGGTCTTTGAAGCGTTTATATTTATTAACTCAATAACTCCACTTCTGAGACTCCGTCTTAAGAAATAATCCTAAATGTCAAAAAAGGCTTATGTGCACATATGCATTGCATTACGTTTATAAAAACAAAAACTTATAATAGCAAAACATTGAAATCAATTTAAATGTCCCACTGCAGAGCAATGCGAAGGTAAACCCCATTTCACAGACGAGTGAATTGAGGCGCAGGTGGCTGAGTAACTCGCCCAAGGACACGCAGGAAGGAAGGGAAGGTGCAGGGACTCCCCTCCACAAGGCTGGGTCACGTCCAGCTGTGAAGGAGCCTGGAGGGGTGTCCCTGGGAGACGATGGTTAGAAAGCGTCCGCCAAGTGTCAGCGATGAGGCCGAAGTCACGCTCAGGGGAGCTGGTGAGTCCGCGAGAGGTGAAAAAGGGAGACAGGCAGGGACTATTTTATGAAGCGAAGGGATGTTTGCAACCTCACAAGTGTATTTGTTGTTTTCCCCATATTAAAAGGCAACTGCCAGGTCATACTTTTATAATTTCAATGTCTTATAAAAGTTACCTTAGCTGTTTCTGGGTGGCACGTGGGGCTTGAGGCTGAGCGCTGCCCTGGCGCCACCGACATGAAGACCGTGTCCCAAGTCCGGTTCTTCGTGCCCCGCGTCCCCACCTGAAGCGGGGGCAGCGGTCCTCCACGGCAGAGGCTCTGGTGGGTGTGTCTGCCGACCTGCAAGTGTGGTTCGGTGACCGATGGAGAGGCCAGTAGCTTTCCTGGCCCACAGAGAACAGGACACTACCCAGGTGAGGCAAGTGTAGGGTTACACTTTCCTGTATGTAAAATAATACAATAATTAGTAAATAATAATATGGGAATGAACTAACAACTGTAAACCTACTTTTGCCCTGCTATGCAAGGACTCACACCCAGCTTCCTGTTGACAATGGCCCGTGAAGGTTTCATAATCCTGCACCCAAACAGTCCGCAGTCAATAGGTGTCTTCTACTCGGTGGATTTGTGTCCTAGTGAGTTTTCTCATGGCTGGAGTATTTGTGAGAATGAAAACGCCAAGCTATCTGAGTGGTTAGAGAGCCTTTGGGGAAGAAATCAGTGGATAATGGCTGTGCTCCTGTTAATGAAGTTTTAAAGGTTGTAGCCACTATAAAATGTGGGAAAGGCTGAAAAGCAGCAGAAAAAGAAGCCTCGATGGAAAGATGGGAAGCATATTAAAGCTTGGACTAGAATGTCCCCTGGAAATCAAAGAGGACGCTTACCACAGTATTTTTTCCTGTCGACCTACACTGACACCAGTGATGGCAAGTGGTATTTTCTTAGTTTTTCATTTCTTAAAGAAAATGCACTCCATTTCTCCAACGAAAGTAAATACTTTTTTACAACCCCCTTAGCAGTGTTCTCAGGTGACATTTTTATTTTCAGGAACTAATGTAAGGTAAGAAGGCAAGACCCACAGGCTGAGAGCTCTGAACGGCGGGTCAGCTTTTCCTGTAGTGTTTTGCTTTTAAACGGAGTGTGTGACAGTACAGTCCTCAGATACACACTTAGGATTGTTTCCTGAGCAGTAAGACCTATGAAAGGAACAGAAATAAGTCATTTTTCTAATTTAAAACCCAAGCACTGCTCCATTACCTGTCTAACTTCGTCCTTAATGCAGAACCGGCTGTGACAAACACTGGAGGCCTTTCTGTTCATTATTCAACATTCTGCATTTTTAAAATGTTTTCTTTGTCCACAGACACTCTTCCAGAGCTAAGCTGTGTGCAGAGCCACCTGGAAAGGTGAGGAGTGAGGAGGGGCACTCCATTCCCCCCAAAGACTAGGCAGCTCCGCCTGGAGGCCTTTGCCTAGATGCTGCCTTGGCCTAAAGCGCCCTTCCCTCAGGAGTCTGCCCAGCTACTTCCTCACCTCCCTCTGCTCTTCCAGCATCTCAAGGACCCCTGCCCTGACCACCCTGTGATACTGCCGGCCCCTGCCCCAAACTCTGGAGCTTCTCATTTCCCCTTCCCTTCTTTTTTCCCCTTCCCTTCTCTCTCTCTCTCTCTCTCTCTCTCTCTCTCTCTCTCTCTCTCTGCAAAGCAAAGGCCAGCTACTAAGTAATACTATTTATTCCTTATCTTTAGTGTTTACTGCATGCGCACGAGTGTGCACACACACACACACACACACACACTCCTATAGTGCAAGCTCCTTGAAGGAGTCATCTTTATGTTTTGTTCTCGGACCTATCCCAGGTGCCTAGAGCCATTCTGGGCACTTCCTAGGCTCTCCTTTCATATATTTGGATTTTTTTTAAAAAAATGTTCTCCCGAGGCCTGTGACTCCTTTGGCTGTAGCCAATCCTTGGAAGATGGGTAGCCTTTCCATGAGAGAGACACAGGGAAGGCAATGGCTTAGGGGAGCGACACGAGCACATGCTGGAAGACAGGAGCAAGGAAACCGCTTGGGAAGCAGGGAGTAGGTGGATTTGGTGGTGCCTAGAATATGAGGCATCAATGCCAGCATAAAGGGTGTGGATCTTCTGTCGTAGACAATAGGAGTGAAGGACTGGGCTACAGAAGGGCTTTCAGCAGGGAAGGGCCTCTTGATGCCAGTAACATTTTAGGACTATTAACCTGGAGGCGGGGTGTGCTTTGGGTGAGAGTGGTCCCTTCAGGATGTTTTCCTCGGTCCTGCCCCGCCTTCCCTGTCCTCGGGAGCACTCGGGGCCGTCGGGCTTTGCTGTGCCTCTCCCCTCTGTGCTCTCCGTGGCCAGCTAAGCCAGGATCAGAACCTGCAGGTGTGTTGCACATCTTAGATTTGGAGGGAGGCGGCTTCAGCTCTGCCTGTTCTCCTTTCTCTGGGTGAAGTCAGGGGAGGCATTACCACGGCCTCTGCCTAGAAATGGCATGAAGCTCCCTCCTGCTTCCGCATCTTCAAGTTCATGCCGCGGTCCCCAGGAGGGAGGAATGGATGCTCTGAGATTTCCCTAAGCAACACCGAAATTCCAAAGGAGTAAAAGGCGCGGAGACCTTGGCCTGGTGCATCGAGAACGGGGACAAATTTAGAACTGGAGCCTTGTGTTACAATTGCCAGTCAAACTCGAGGGGTGACCAGCCCATTAGCGCAGGCACCTGGAAACTGACTTTTCTGCCATCTCTCCAAATACACGCACACACATACTAGTACACGTGTGCACACTCACATACACGCATTCCTCGGGCTCTGGGAAGATCAAGGCCCACTGCAAAGCACCCGTTCCCCAAGACTCCTAATTTATGTTGGGGACTAGCTGTAAAGCTCCCCCCGGGCCCCATCTTCCCTTGCAGCGATAAAGAGCATGGCACGCCGCACTAAAGGCGACACTTAATCAAAACCCGTCTTCCCTCACAAACCCTGAACCTCCAGCTCACGAGAGTCACCAAGGCCAAGGGACGAGGCAGGGAGCGACTCAGGTGGCACACTCTTTGATTAAGATGATACAGGTTCCTTTTATTTCACTTGCATCAGAGTTGTGACATTCCAGATCTGTCCCCTTTTTGATTTGACAACAGCACCTTTCAGTAGAGGTTGACCCCAAAAAAAGACCGGGACTTGTTCTCTCTTCAACCCGGAGTAGGCGATAATTTCTCTGAATCCCCTTCAGTAATGATCCTCAGAGCTTCTGATCTTCCCAAAAACAAGTTTCCCAGGGAACGTGGTTAAACGGAAGCACAAACCCGGCTGCCTCTGGTCCTTTCTAAGTGGCATCTAAGTACCCTTCCTCTCTAGGCCCTGGGAAAGGCCGCCCCTTCTCTGCCTCCTTCCTTGTGTCTTTTCTTTTTCCTGAGACTGAAATCCTCAAATGAATTCTTTCGCCAGATTTCTGGGGCAGGAAACCTACTTCCCTGCCACACGGGACTTCAGAAACTTCTGGAGGCTCCAGGGTTGTCCATTTCTATAGCATGGGCCATGGTTTTCCCCAGGAGCTCTGTGGGATTTTGTTTTAAAATTATTTAATCACTGGTTAGTTCAATGTGCTCAATATATACTTATTGAATCCCAATCACGATGATGTAGGTGTCATAAGAGACAAAAATTTACTTCTGCTTTCAAGAAACTTTCAATCTCGAAGTAAAATGCAATCATGGTAATACATGGTGGAATGTGAGGAGTGGCTACAAGCACCCCCAAAGCACAGGCAGCTCATGGATTAAGCACCTCACACGTGCCAGACCCTGTTCTAGGCCCTGGGGTGCAGCTGCGTACAAAGTGGATAACATTCCTGCCTGCGAGGCACTTACATTCTAGCTGCGGCTGGGCGACATTTCCGACTTTGTATATTTGGCTTTTCAACAACCCACTTTCAAACTCTTTACAGTGACCTTCTCCGACCTCCTTTGTGGACTGAATTTGGACAAATGGCACATCTGAACTATCGCGCCACGTCACACCAGCAGGACTCCAGCTCAGTTCCTTCAGTGCCGGTGCTCTGATTAGTCACTAAAAATGAGCAGAAATTTTAAAAACAAAACTTTATATGCTATTGGTCAGTCTTGTAGTTCTCATTAACTTATAATTGAGACAAAGGTGGAAACATTAGGAAGGAAAAAAGAGAAGCTATTTAAAATGCTGTAGAGAGATATCAAATGTTGCCCTGACCGGTTTGGCTCAGTGGATGGAGCGTCGGCCTGCAGACTGAAGGGTCCCAGGTTCGATTCCGGTCAAGGTTGTGGGCACATCCCTGGTGGGGGGGTGTGCAGGAGGCAGCTGATCGATGTTTCTCTCTCATCGATGTGTCTAACTCTCTATCCCTCTCCCTTCCTCTCTAAAAAAATCAATAAAAGTATTTTAAAAAAAGAGAGATATCAAATGTTGAGCTTGATAAAGTATAGTTAGGATTTTAAAAATTGATTTCTTGTTTCTGTGAGAGTGGTCTTTATTATAAAATGTGCTGGCAATAGCTCAGGCAGGCTGTTCAACAACAGCCTTTTTCCACTCCAGCGGGCTGGGAGCTGGGGGGGGGGGGGAGGGGGTGGGGAGGGGGGCCCAGCCCAGCACCAGTAAAAGTCACTTATCTTTTACTCAAGGACTTATAGGAAAATAGAATAATCAGCATATTTCTTTCTTTTTTATTTTATTTTTAGTTTATTGATTTGAGAGAGAAACATTGATTTTTGCTCCACTTACTTATGCATTCATTGGTTGTTTCTTGTATATGCCCTGACTGGGGATCGAACCCATAACCTTGGTGTACTGGGACGATGCTCTAACCATCTGAGCTACCCAACTGGGGCTACCTAGCATAATTCAAAGCAGAGGGGGAGGGGATGGTTTTCTGGAAAAGCCTTTGTTTCAGCACAAAGAAGTGGTAAGAAAACAGCAAAGAATCCTCCTTCTCAAGATGAGTTAAGGCTCAGGCTCAAGACTGTAGACTGACCTAGAATGGGAAGGCCAAGGGCCAGTCCCAAGAAGAGAGTAAGTGTCTGGCCTGCCTTGCCTTCTCCATTGTCCCTGAAGACAGTCTTGACCCCGCCCCGAGCCTCACAAGGCGCCTGGCACAGCATTATTCCTGGAGCAAGCCTGTGAGAGTCAGGATGGGTGACAGCCAGCACACCACAGGGCAGGGTAGCATGTTGGGGGGTGAGGGCAGCAAGAGCAACCGGAAGCTGTAATAACAGGAACTCTGCGTGGTAGTTACTCAGTGGCATACGGTGTGTGTCACACGGGCCCCTGAACTGCTCATGCAGCCCCGTGGGTGCACAGGAGGAAACCACAGCCCCACCAGCCAGTGAGCGCTGGGCGAGGATGTCTGCATCTGCTCTGGGACAGAGGCGCTTCCCCCTTCTTGTCTGGCAGTGGTACCGCAACCCCTGGTCAGAGCCTATAGGAGTTACCTTGGCCCCTCCCTCTCTCATCACTTCCTTACTGTACTGGAGAGCTGACTCCCATGTCTAAACAGCAGGATTAAGAACCTCTGTACAGCCCGGCTGGTGTGGCTCAGTGGCTGAGCGTCGACCCATGAACCAGAACGTCACGGTTGATTTCTGGTCAGGGCACATGGCTGGGTGGTGGGCTCAATCCCCAATAGGGGACATGCAGGAGGCAGCTGATCAACGATTCTCTCTCATCATTGATGTTTCTCTCTCTCTCCCTTTCCCTTCCTCTCTGAAATAAAAAAAATATATTAAAAAAAAAAAAAAGAGCCTCTGTGCAGGCCAGTGTGGCTCAGTTGGTTAGAGCATCACTGGCATTGATGTTTTTATCTTTCTCTCTCTCTCTCCCTTCCTCTCCCTAAAATCAATGAACATGTCCTCGAGTGAGGATTAAAAAAAACAAAAAAAGAAAAGAAACCTCAGTACAGAATTCAGTCACAGCCAAGGTGGGTAAACAGGAGGGTTTGGTTCCTCTCTGTGAGTTTCTGTGATAAAATGATACCGTTTCTGACCCCCGACTCCACACAAGATACTTTTTGCACCTGGAGGAGGGAGAGAGCAGAGTCCCAGGTGGAAGCAGAACTGAGAGGGAGAGCACTCCGCACACCCTCGGCCCCAGCAAAGAGGCTCCTCTGTGGCTTGTGCTGAGGAGCACAGCCCTGGCAGGCTCTTCTGTTTGTGCCGTGGGAGGGCCGTCCGTTTCTGCTGGAGAACTTGGCCGTCAGAGGCCCACAGCACGGGGACGCCCCTTGGTGCGGAGGGGAGGGCGGCCCTGGCGACCTGGAGACTTGGCGATGCTTGGAAGGGAGCCCTGCCCGCCCTCTGCCTCCCCCGAACCCGGTCAGCACCTGCTGAGGCCCCCACACAGCTGGGCCGGGGGACTCGGGCCCTCTCCTACCTCCTCTGGGGGCTGCCTGGTCACGGGCATGCTCCTGTGCTCCCTCTGAGCGTTCAGCTGCCTGTTTCCCCCAAATTTGAAACTTGGACCCAAAGAACAGCATTTTTACATGGGAGCGGGGAGTGCCTGCAGCCTGCGCTTTGTCCCCTTGTACCGATTCCAGCTGAAACCGGGCCCTGGGCCTCTTGGCCCAGAGCTAAGCGTGTTGGTGAACAGAGTGGAGAGGGTGGGAGCCAACACCCAGGGACAGCTGTGCTCTCGGCCTCGGCCCTGCCCTTCCGAGCGCTGGCCGCTTGTCCGCTGGGTCTGTGTGAAAACTTCCTGAGGAGCACGTCTGGGGGACGTTCGTCTTCGTTGGTGACCCAGCTAGTGCTCTTCGGGCTCTTGTCTCTTTATTGGCTTTGGTGGCAGCGACACGGGGCCGGCTTTGCTCTCGGAGAGGCTCCCCGGGGACCCGCAGAAGCCGGGCCTGCACCCGGGTGGTGGGAACAGGGGAGACGCCGCGGGGCTGGCCTGCACATGCGGCCCGGAGAGCGTGGCAGCTGGCAGCCTGGTCTGCATCTGATCAGTTTTATCTGCATAGCATTCAGAACATTTCTCCCCCAAGAACATGCTGACCCTCTGGAGGAGGGATGGCCGTGTGGGCCGCTTGTTTGAAGACATCTCGGCTTTGCTGAGGCTTGTGCAGAGACCCCAGATAAGCCTCAGAACGCGAGCCAAGGGGGTGGGGAGGAGGCTCTCTGGTGACACTCCGCATCTTCCCGGCCTTCCCTTTTACGTGTTTACCAATTGTGAAAGCAAATCCAGCTGTTGGGAGGAATTGCTTCCAGATGACATTATGGGAAAGGAAAACACACTTTATTAAAAAGCTGCAGAATAAAAAGCAGAACATGTACGCTCCGTGGGCCAGGATTTCATATGGACTATTTCCTGATATTGTGCAATCAGCCAGCTCCTGGGGTAATAATAACAGAGCAAATGTTCCCTGTGCTAGAGTCAGGAGACCAGGGCTGGGACGGGACTTGGCAGGACGTGGGGAAAATCACTTGACCTCCCTGGCCACCGTATTTTTCTCCCTCTCAAGGACTGCATCCCACCTTCGCTGGGGATCCCTGTGAAAGCCTCGGGAAATGCCTCCCGATGCCGAATGATGTGAGACAAACCAGGAAAAATTAAGGACATTTTGCTTTGGAAAATGGGATGTGTTTCTCGCCCCCCCACCCCCACCCGCCACAGAAATGTGCTGTGTTGGCTTTCTCAGAGATTTTAGAAGCTCTCCAGCGAGCTGGAATGAAGTGTCCCTTTACTAATTTGGTTTTACAGGTCACCGGATAAAACCTACTTAGCGTGGTTTGGAAGAGGATTAGGACATTGGCGTATCTTGCAAGTTGACTTTGCAGGCAGGGTCAGTCAGCAGCTGGAGGCTCCCTCGGCTCGGGGCCAGAGCTCTTTTGTAAACTGCAAGTCTGTAAGGGCCTGGTGAGAACACTGTAACTCTATGATCCAAGAAACAGAAAGTTTGCAGGGAAATGAACATGTAAATGTATAAAAGCAAGGCACACATGGCCAAGTTTGAGTGCAAGAGAGGGAATGCCAGAAAGCCCAGCATTGCAATTCCCCAGGACGAGGGCAGCAGCTGAGGCCACTGAGTCGCTCTTACTGGGGCAGAGTGGGCTGCAGTAGCTCGAGAATGCGCCTGGCACTCAGGAATCCCTTAGACGGCCCTGCAGCCTCTGCCACATGACCCATATGAGATAGTCCAGATCAAATGAGCATTCACTCATCTACTCAGCACATATGTTTCGAGTGCCACGGCGGTGAAGGAAGCATACAAAATCTCTGCCCTCATGGAGCTTATGTTCTGAAAGGAAAGATGAACCATAGACAATAAACATAATGAGTCACTTTTTCTATCAGTTGTGGATCTATCAGGAAACAGATGACGCACTCCATTGGGTAATGGAGAGGAGCTGAATAATGGAGGGTTTACCGAGACCTAGGCAGACTCCAGGGAAGCCGACAAGGAAGGGTGTAGCGCCCAAGAATTACCCACCGTGGAACCACCACCCACGCCTAGGCCTGACGGGCCAGGAGGAGGGGCAGTCACCAGAACCCAGTGAGGGGACCTGCGGCCTCGGCAAGAGGGACCTGGCCAGGTGAGGCACACAGGTGGGCAAGGAGCCGAAGGATTCAGCCCCTCCCCTCTCTCCTCGGAGCACTGCGCATGCCTCCCACTGGCCAGGCCCAGGGAAGCCAACGGCAGGAAGTCCCTTGAGGCACAGGGCAGGGTGGAAAAGAGTGGAGAAGGGACCCGTGGGACAGACGGGGCATCTAGCATCTACAGTCTGTTAGAGGGCCAGAGGCGCAGGAGGAAGAGGAGCAGGTGGGAGGCATGGAGGTGGGGCAGGCAGCCAAGTAACACAAATGGCCTGCCGTGCAGGGCCTCCTTCATTTGCTCTCCCACCTCCCTCCTTTTCCTGTTTTCTGGTGACTAATTGTGCCCTCTCCTGCAGGTCCTCCCATCATCTCCCTGCTCCTGCCGCTTGTCCCACTGGGCACCCTCACCAGTCCCTCGGAGCCAAACCAGGGCAGCTCTGCCGAACCTTCGGTGAGTCTCTGTGCTCTGCTTACTTTAGGAGCCTGGGCGGGGCAATGGTTTATTTTAAATTTTAAATAGACTTTATTTTTTAGAATAGTTTTAATTTCACAGAAAAATTGAGAAAGTAGCACAGAGAGTTTCCATATACTTCCCACTGAGCTCCCTGATTAGCATGGTATGCTTGTTACACTTAATGAGCCAATCAGGACATATTATTGTTGTATTCCGATTCTCTCAGTTTTTCCGTCCATGGAGCTGTCTCCATGCCCACTCGGCAACTCCCAAATCCGGCTACCTATTTTTCCCAATCCCCTTGCAGGCTTTCAAAA